AAGAAGAAGAAGAAGAAGAAGAAGAAGAAGAGAAGAAGAAGAAGAAAAGGAAGAAGAAGACAGAAGAAGAAGAAGAAGAAGAAGAAGAAGAAGAAGAAGAAGAAGAAGAAGAAGAAGAAGAAGAAGAAGAAGAAGAAGAAGAAGAAGAAGAAGAAGAAGAAGAAGAAGAAGAAAAGAAGAAAGAAGAAGAAAGAAGAAGAAAGAAAGAAAGAAGAAGAAAGAAAAGAAAAGAAAGAAAGAAAGAAGAAGAAAGAAAGAAAGAAGAAAAGAAAGAAGAAAGAAAGAAGAAAGAAAGAAAGAAAGAAAGAAAGAAAGAAAGAAAGAAAAGAAAAGAAAGAAAGAAAGAAAGAAAAGAAAGAAAGAAAGAAAAGAAAGAAAGAAAAGAAAGAAAGAAAGAAAGAAAGAAAAGAAAGAAAGAAAGAAAGAAAGAAAGAAAGAAAGAAAGAAAGAAAGAAAGAAAGAAAGAAAGAAAGAAAGAAAGAAAGAAAGAAAGAAAGAAAGAAAGAAAGAAAGAAAGAAAGAAAGAAAAAGAAAAAGAAAAAGAAGAAAGAAAGAAAGAAAGAAAGAAAAAGAAAAAGAAAAAGAAGAGGAAGAAGAAGAAGGGGGGTCTTCAACATCTCTAAGCCATAAAGTTCGGGTGCTATGATACAAAACCGTTTTCCATGAAACAGCCAGTTATAAACTACATAAAGAGACTTAATAAATCGGCATAATCGCTTACCCTAGAGGCCCACTGCACTTTACTAAGTAAACAAGATTATTTGACGACAAAGAAAACATTAATGTCACATTAGGAAATAAAAGACAAGTGTTGTTGGAACGGAGAAGAAGAATGAGGAAAGAATTTTATCTCGAGTGGTAATAAAAGTTGAAATCATCGTCATCAACAGAGCAAACCCCCTTGGGAAATCAACTTTATGCCAGATAACCTCCTTGACCCGGAACCATCTGAAACTCACGTGAGGTCACAAGGTTATGTCCAAATTTAGGTGATAATGCCAGGATTTCAATCGGATGGTTTTCTCATTTATCCTCAGCTCACTTCTATTGGGGAAGTTGAGACCGTTCACATTGTTCAGTTTAAACTGTATGGCACGTATCTTTAGATTTAGTAAGTAAAAAAAAAAATGCTCTTTTTTAACGCAAGTGGCATATGAGGCATATGAGTACTATAGTGTAGTGCAGATTATAGCAGGGCGATTTTCTTTTTCTTCTTCTTCTTCTTCTTCTTCTTCTTCTTCTTCTTCTTCTTCTTCTTCTTCTTCTTCTTCTTCTTCTTTTCTTTTTTCTTCTTCTTCTTCTTCTTCTTCTTCGCGGTAAACTCCGACGGAAAGTTGTGGTTGTTTGTCCACTTCTGGACTTTGATCGTATACCAGAACGTGCACACATATGTTGTGACATATATGGCACATTTGTATGCAGACTATTGGCTGCTCGCCTTCCAACTTGGATCCCCTTGACTTTAATCTTCAATCCTCTTATTTGTGTCGGCGTCTGTGGCTTGAGCGTTACGTACTTGCTTTGTAATGCCAGGCTGTCGGGTTCGATCCCAGCTACCGACGATTTGTCTTGCGTTGGTCTCGACAGTGGTACCGAGAGCTGGCCTTTGAGATAGAAACTATTGAACGTAGAAAAACTGTTGGTTCTGAAACGTCCTGTGAAGGATACGTAACTAAGCTTAACTTTGTATGAATTGTGTAAGTAGGGAGAAAGGGTGCAGGCGCGCGGGCGTGTGTACTTCTGTGTCTGTGCAATTTTTTGTAATGGTTTTCCAAATCAGACTTGCACTGTGCAGGGTTAACATCTGAGGATGACAGACAGACAGGTAGGAACTCTGGAAACCTCATTTAACGCTATAGCCATATAGTACAGTCATATTAGAACATCACACAACGGTTTCGAAGTACCCTGCAGTCCAGTGTGGAAGGGTTGTGTCTATGCGATTGTCTCTGTGTGTGGATCGGTTGTTTCCATGTGAATGGTTATGTGTGTGGTTGAGTTGTGTCAATGGGTGTGTGTATGTGTTTGGGGATACGTTGTATCCATGCGGGTGTCTATGTGTGTGGATTTATGTCCATGAGAGTATCTATGTATGTGGATGAATTGTGTCCATGCAAGTGTCTATGTGTGTGGAGGGGCTATGTCCTTGCGAGTGTCTATGTGTGTGTGTTAGGTTGTGTCCATGCGAGTGTCTATGTGTGTGGAGGGGCTGTGTCCTTGCGAGTGTCTATGTGTGTGTGTTAGGTTGTGTCCATGCGAGTGTCTATGTGTGTGGAGGGGCTATGTCCTTGCGAGTGTCTATGTGTGTGGATGAACTGTGTCCATGCAAGTGTCTATGTGTGTGGAGGGGCTGTGTCCTTGCGAGTGTCTATGTGTGTGTGTTAGGTTGTGTCCATGCGAGTGTCTATGTGTGTGGAGGGGCTGTGTCCTTGCGAGTGTCTATGTGTGTGTGTTAGGTTGTGTCCATGCAAGTGTCTATCTGTGTGGAGGGGCTGTGTCCTTGCTAGTGTCTATGTGTGTGTGTTAGGTTGTGTCCATACGAGTGTCTATGTGTGTGGAGGGGCTGTGTCCTTGCGAGTGTCTATGTGTGTGTGTTAGGTTGTGTCCATGCGAGTGTCTATGTGTGTGGAGGGGCTATGTTCTTGCGAGTGTCTATGTGTGTGGATGAACTGTGTCCATGCAAGTGTCTATGTGTGTGGAGGGGCTGTGTCCTTGCGAGTGTCTGTGTGTGTGTGTTAGGTTGTGTCCATGCGAGTGTCTGTGTGTGTGTGTTAGGTTGTGTCCATGCGAGTGTCTATGTGTGTGGTGATTGCTACTAATAAATGTAACTTGGCGACTCATGCTTTTTATCGTGCCGCATTTCTAAGCTGTTTCAATCTCATTGTGGAAGTCCTGGGATTGGGTTGTGGACACCGCACTACTGTTTTCGACTGGCAGTATTTTAGAAATTTCTGGGCAGGAAGGAGGGGAGGGGAGGGGTGGGGGGGGGGGTGAGGGTAGGGATCCTAAGCAGGAGCGAAGGAGTTTCGTGCTTTGTGTGATTTCTTCATGAACAAAGTATTACTCTGCAGAAATGACCTAGCCATTCACGTTGTGTGAAACGCTAACCTACAAACTTCAGAGCAGGTACGCCACCCCAAAAAAAAAAATATTCGAAAGGGCGAGGGGCGGCGCTCACTACTGCTCCCCCCCCCCCCCAATCCACCATCTATCCCACCCCTTACCTTGTTTTTTTTTTTTTTTTTTTTTTTTAATCAGATTAACGGATAAACAAAATTGGACGAGGAGTTATGAATTACCCCCGTTCTCTACCCACAAAGTAACGAATCACTCAGGCGCTCAGTTCCCCTGCCTCCAACCCCCTTCTTTTCCTTCCCCTAACCACGCCCTCCTCGCCAAATTGAAAGGCAACGAAATTCTCTTTTAAAGTATTTGTTTTTTTAAATTTCATATAATTTCAAATATTCTGTAACATTTTGTGCATTCAACACGTTTTGTTATTGTTTTTCTTTTCGTTATTATTATTATTTTCAATGGGTTAAACTGCCATTAAACATAATGATACGAGTATATGCATACAATTTTATGTGATACTTTGGTTAAAGTCCTATACAAAAATTACTAGATCGAAGGTAGAGGAACCTAAAAAAAAAAAAACAATAAACAAGAAAAATAGGTAGAGGGGGAGACCTCCTGGGACCTAAAACCCACCCGTCTTCCCACGCCCCCTCAATGTCCCGGCGTCTATGCTTCAGAGCTCCAGGCAGACGACAAAACAAAGTCGCCTTCAAGACCATCATGACACAACAATCCTACAGTTTTTGTTGTATTCCTGGCGTGGGGCGTCGCATGTCGACCCAGCCTACAGTGGGTACCAGGATGGCCGTCCTGGTTAAGTAAAGACGGCTGGCTTAATGCTGACCACATTACCCACCTAGTGCCGACGGTCTGTAAAAATATGGTTGCTCTCCCATATACCCGATACGCCTAAAGGCGTGAAAAGGGATCGCTACTTTACTTTGCTTGCTGTTACAGCCAAATGATGTATCTACGGATTTACACAAACTAACACATGCAACATATTTTCCAGTTTATTATGCAGTCTGTTAGTTAAACTATGTGTGATTATTCATCAAGTAAATGTGTTGTAAAAGAAGTTTACGTCTTTGTTTTAAGTAAATAAGTAAATTTTTACCCCAGCAAGACATGACACAAGCGATAAACACCTGAGGACATAAAGTGCCACCATGTGGATAAGGATCACCCGTGGAGAGGTCCCAGAAACCGCGTTTAACCGTTAGGTTATATTGCGGCTCCTGGCAACAGCCAGGGTGGGGCTTCAAAAAAAAAAAAATGCATCCCTCAATGGGGATGACGAAGAATACTATAACCTATGTCATTATTTTGAACATTTTTGAATTTTTGAAAGTATTTAAAACTGAGTTAATCCAGTCATTAAGGAAAAAATATGGGGTTTTGGTCTGAAATAATACAGAAAGACTAAGAATATCTGGGACCAAGAAGAAAAGAAATACTGACATTCTAAAAGATCTAAACATCAAGAAATATTTGCTAGTAAATTATCTCAAAGCTAAAATATGTCTCACGTCCTATGGGATTGGTCAGAATATAGAAAAGAGATCAGGTAAGAGGAGCAGGGGCCGACCAGCACGTAGATGACACAGGCTATAAGTGACACCTTGGATAAGAAAGTGAACAAACATAAAGTGGAAAAAAAAGGGGGGGGGAAGGAGTGAATCTGGCGAGAGACTAAGTTTCTGACAGATACGATGTGATGAGAGCGACGTTCTGCAATGTACGTGCTACATGATGATTGTGTCGTTAATCAAGTTGTCCGCTGATGTAATAAAATAATGTCATAATTTCTTGTAGTTTTAGTTGTACAGTACATTTTCAATGAAAATAATATCATGTTTAAACATCATCTTGTTGCATTGTAAGGGCTATAAGTGTGCAGCTGGAATCGACAGACAGACCAA